ATATTTTATATTATATTATTAGATCTTTTTAATTAATAAGGAATTTCAATTTGTTTTTTCACTTCTCCATTTAGTTTTCAAGATCATTTTGCATATGCCGACACACTTTCTATTTTCTAGCTAGTTCTATTATTTTTATTACTATTAAAGATAAATACTGGAGCAATGAATATCTAATAAATACCAAGATGGTAAGGCAACATTCATATTTTAAAAAAGTAAAGGTTAGGTAATGTGTTCATGATACAATGTTCATACATCATCCAAGCATCAACAACATATCTAATATAATCAAACACCAGCGTAACACTGAGTGTTGACACCCATGTTTACCGTCATGCAACACACAAAGTCTCGGAATCGATCCACGACGAAAATACAGACCCACAAAATCTGCTCAAGTACTTCACGGTACCCTTAACACTATAGGGTACCGACCCTACAATTCCAGGGTACCGCCCCACGGTACGTGAGTACCGTCCATAGCAGCCACTGTCCTCATCTGGTAGGCATGTCACAGTAGCCACTATCGACTCTGTGGTATGGCTTACCATTCGTCTGGTATGTAGGAACCGTTCGGTCATAGGTACCGACATAGAGAAGGAAAAATAGAGAAGGTGGTGGTAGCTCGATACTGTGCTAGCAAAACCGCCCTACCATCGGTCACGGCGAAACCTGACTCTGCACCAGCTCCATTTTTCCACATCAAACCAACATCCAACTCAGAATTACAGACATCAATAGGTTTTATATTCACATTCAAACATTATCTAACATGACCATAACCAACAACATAAACGAGACATAACTCACATAGGGTTTGCATTATTCAACCGTAACGATTTTACGAACGTAAGATTCAAACCTAAGAATATAACTATATGTTAGATGTCCACGTACTCACATAGATTACGACGAATATACTATAACGATAATACCACGAGTGGGGAATCGAATGGCAAACTCATCCTTTTTCTTCTTCTTCTTCTTCGATCTTCTTTTCCTCTTCTCGCTGTTGTGCTCTTCTTCGGTTCTGGTGCTGTTCTTTGATTGGTGAAAGAGAGACGAGAGAGGGGAGGGTTTACGTAAGTTGTTATGGGGAGGTGTAAAGAATTAGCCGTGTAAGAGTATATTATATATATTTGGGGTTTTGGACTCCGTAATTAATTAATGTATCTGATCCACAATGCACTTTTCGGACCCTCGAGGTTTATATCCAATCCGTTGCATTGTTGGATTTGTTCCGTCAAATCCTACACAACAGTATAAACTTTTGTATCAAACGAAAAATATTTCATAGTTACATCGAGTCCATCTCAGTAATTAATTAATTATTTTTAATTAATTAATTTTGATAGGCCGGGTTTTGGGGTGTTACATATCCTACTTTATAAGGCCTGCGTCCGTGTAACATCTGATGTACTAAACCACTATAAAGATTACACCTTCAACTTCAATAGACTCTTTTTAGAAATTTGACTTAGTCTTCTTACATGTGATTTGACGATAACACTTTGTGTGCATCAGACTTCTTGGCTTGCCACACCTTCTTCAAGATCTTCTTCAAGGGACATGTTGTTAGCCTAGTACATTCCAGAACATCAAGAATCAAGTTTTGGATGATGAACTCATGTTCATACCATCATGCAGCAGCTCTAGGTTTGAGTATGATAAAACAAGCTAAGAGATCTTCCTTCACGCTGATATATATTGGAACGACTTGATCTTCATATGTAATAGAAGAACTCTAGTATGTAATTTTGCCTCCCTCGTTTTATTACTCTCTCTCTCTCTCGCACTTATAAAGAGCATATGCGTCAAGTTTTATTCAAGAGTGAGCAACCTAGTAGAATCCCATTATTAGGAGACTCTCGTCTAGATCGTTCTTAGTCCGCAGGAGTAGTAACGCAGGCAGATAAAACTCTTACTATCTCGGATACTAGATATGGATGATTTGAAGTCGTGGGGAGATCTATGCATCACACTCAAAAGCTTTCAGCTTCGTGTTTGGACTCTTCTTTAAATAACGATGTCTTCCTTAAACAACAAAGCACATTCCGCAAAAATAAGGACTCTTTGCAACATAATTAGATGACAGACATGATCTACAACTCTATACTTGGGCAAAACGGCTAGATATAAGACACATATGAACTCTATTTGTTTTGTCAAAAGAATAATGCCAACAAGAGTTTTACAACTCAATTACACAAAGTATAAGGAGAACACCCCATGGAACTAACAAACTTAGGGTTCAGGCTCAACCCAACATAAAGTAAGTTCAAGGAATTATTCATTATTAAATATTATAGTATTAAAAGTGGATTCTTGACTTTTGCATCCTCCACATTTATACATGCCCTCCTCGATAAATATTTACTTTGTTATTAATACCTGTGTGCTGCGTGCAGTTAAAACACTACATGTGAGCATAAAGAAGAGTATAATACACAATAACATGATATATCCAAATTTATAACATATTGCCCTGGATTGTTTATTATTCAAAATTAGTTTTCTTACATATTTATTTGGATGATTATTTAATTAAATACTTTTTTAACACTTTATTTTTTCCAATTTTTTCTAACTTATTCTAGTTTCTTCCAACATCTAAGTCTATTTTTACCACCTAAACAATTAGAGAGCCTATGTTTGCATGAATTGATTCTTTATCACCAGAGAATAAGTCATTTAAATACAGGATTACAAACCATTTAAAGAGCAGTAACTCCTTGGATTAAAAACGGTAACCTGCGGAGTCAATATATGAAAATTAATGAGAATATACACACAATAAATATAATAATATATGGTTTGAATTAATGAGAATATATACACAATAAATATAATACTCCGTATTTTATATTATGGCTACGGAGTTACAAAGGAGTTACAAGGAATTCAAAATAGTCAATATATGAAAATTAATGAGAATATACACACAATAAATATAATAATATACTGTATTATGGTTTGAATTAATAAGGAATATATACACAATAAATATAATTATACTCCGTATATAATATGGTTTAATAGCGGGGACTTGGAGGACTAAAATTAGTCCAACGCAAATAAAAAATCTACCACCTCCGGGCTCCGTCCCATAAAATTTTTCAAAGTAGAAAAAAAGGTGCACTCTAAAAATTTACATTTGTTGATATTATTTTCTAATTTTGTCCTTATTTAATAATAATAAAGTAGGATATGATGCATATGATAGATAAGTCATAATCAGAAAATAATATCAAAATAATTAATTTTTATGGCGTACCTTTTTTCATTTTTAATTTTATGGGACGGAGGAAGTAACCTATAAAAAATAATGAAAATAAAAATGAGAAACAGTAGCATGACTCACACAAGAGCATATATGCGAAAAAGGCACAAAGAGTGCAAAACTCGCCAAACAATTAAATAAAACAATTCCGTTGTTTTGTTTAAGGTAAATAAATACAATCCATCACAATTAGAATTTGGAACAAAGAATAAAATTCATCCATATTAGGTATAAGGGGAAAACACGGCTAGGATAGTATCCTATAAAAATCGTCCTCTCACCTAATTAACTCTTTTTTTAATAGCAAACCAGACAAAAGTAAAAATAAAAACAATACTTCCTCGTCCCACAAAACATTATTCATTTTGAATACTATTTGGTCAAACGGTTACACGCTTTGACTACAAATTGTGAGAAAAGTATATTGAATTATAATATAAATTTAATATAATTGAATTCATCTTAGGATGTAGTTTTGATAAATCAAATTTTTATAACATTTCTTTATTTAGATTAAATTTAATTTATGGTCAAAATGTGTAACTGTTTGACCAAAAATACATCAAAATTGGGTAATATTTTGTGGGACGGAGGAAGTAATAATATCAATTAATAATTCTAGAAATAATAAAATAAATCCATATTCCAAGAAAATGAAGCCCTCTGACTTAATTAATTCCCGCCTTTCCTTGTTGAGAAAAACAATCAAGAAGCCAAACACCATATATTTCTTTGAAGCACAATATGAACACAGAAGGATACATATACACGCAAAGTGGACCTACCAAAAAAAAATGTATAAATACATGTAGCCTAGTCATAGCTAAATCCCATAAAACCAGAGGGAAAAAACACAACTTGCCAATTAATTCAAAGCAAAAGAGAGAAGAAAAAGAAAAAGGGATATGTTAATAATGAGAGTCATGAAGAGGAATAATAGCAGAAGCCATTGTGGGGTTTGGGTTCTGGTTTTGCTGTTCTGTCTGCAGTGGTTTGGTTCAGCCAGGGCCAGAGTTTCCTATGATGATAAGGCCTTCATCATCAATGGGAGGAGAAGGATTCTCATCTCTGGCTCCATTCACTACCCAAGAAGCACTCCTCAGGTAAAAAAAATTTTTACCGTGGTAAGTAGTAAGTACTGCATCTTTCACCATACCTTTTCACTGTCTATGAGAATGTTCGGGTGAAAGGTGATGAGGTAATAGTTGGTGTCACTTTAGTATTTTTTTCTTTCTCGTTTCGCTCAACTTTTCCGCCGTCTATTAAGATTAGTTGTTTGAGAAATTGTGTGATTTGTGGTTCTTTGAAAGACAAATTGTAAAGCACAAACTTTTACGCTATATTTGGTTCAAGGAATTTGAGAGGGAACGAAAAAGAAAATGAGAAGGAAAACAGTTTTCTTGTTTGGTTAGAGAGGAAAAGATAAGAAAAGTGGAAGGAAAAGAAAATGAGAAAGCGAAAAATACTAAGGGAGAGGAAAAACCAAATTCTTCCCATTTTGGTGAGGAAAATGAGGGAAAACTATTTTCTTTTCTTTTCCTTTCAAATTCTTTGAACGAAACAAAGTGTTAGTTTTTTAGGAGAATTAGGAGATTTGACAAACTCCTTATTGTACACTTGTTTTGGGTAGCTTAGAATAAATTGCACACTTATATAAATTATTGTGAATTCTCAAATATATCTAATAAAGGGAATGTCATTGATAAGGGACAGCCTACTTTGAACATTCTTTTGTTGTTGTTTTATCCTCATTTGTTAAATTTGAGGTGTTTAAGAAAATGGACTATCAAAATCTGAGTATATTCTTGGAAAATTTCCATGCATGTTGACCTGTTTTTGTGCAGTTTCTTTCTTCTTTTGAACAGTTTTGCCAAAAGAAAAAAAAATATACTCTGTGTGTATCTTCTTGGATGACTCACACCTATGTGATACCTAAGCCTTCTTTTTTAACTTTTTGAACAAATCAATAGCTCAAATTTTATGCAGTGGTAAAATTCTAATTTACTCTATTGGTTTTTGTTTGAAAAGTACTCTATTAGACTATTATCATACTTTACTCATACTTGTTAAGACTTGGAGTTCCAATCCTAAAAGTTAACCTTACAAGATCAAACAAGATTTTCATATGTTACTTTATTAATACTCTACTCACCATTATTTTTTTATGTGATACATAAAAAATTCAATGAATATGAACATAAATCATGTCTTGGCATGGTGCAGATGTGGCCAGATCTTATACAGAAGGCTAAAGATGGAGGTTTAGATGTTATACAAACTTATGTGTTTTGGAATGGACATGAACCATCTCCAGGACAAGTAATGCCTCAACTTTATATCTTTAAAAAATAAAACTTCTGATCCACTTTATATTATACACTAATTCTATAGTAACCATGAAAATTCTGCATTTTTTTCTAGTACAATTTTGAGGGAAGATATGATCTGGTTCACTTCATCAAACTGGTGCAACAGGCCGGGCTCTATGTTCATCTTCGCATCGGCCCTTATGTTTGTGCAGAATGGAACTTTGGGTAACTTTTATTTTTGTACAAATTTTATACAATTAATTAATTGACTCTATACAAATTTTGTTAAAACAAGAAGACGTTGAAAAGCTGAGATTTGAATACCTTGGTGCAGGGGATTTCCTGTTTGGCTAAAATATATTCCTGGGATGGAATTCAGAACAGACAATGAGCCTTTTAAGGTTGTCTACTTGATCACCTCAGGATAAATTAAAGAAAGAATGATGAGTTAGTTAAGATTTGAACTAAGTAATCGATTAGATTCAATCTGCTTTGGTCCTTAATCCCATTTCGTTGCTTTAATAGGCTGCGATGCAAGGGTTTGTTGAGAAAATAGTGAATATGATGAAATCAGAGAAGCTGTTTGAACCCCTTGGAGGGCCTATCATTATGAATCAGGTAAGAAGAGGTATTCTTGGCTGGCTTGTTTTTAATTGCTCTTTAATTGATGCAGATTGGGATGTTTTTTAATTAATCCCACAGTAATTTTTTTACTGCTGCTGCTGCAGATAGAGAATGAGTATGGGCCAGTGGAATGGGCAATTGGTGAGCCTGGTAAAAGGTATACTCAGTGGTTCTCAAAAATGGCTTTAGGACTCAACACCGGGGTTCCATGGATCATGTGTAAACAAGAAGATACCCCTTATCCCATAGTAAGAAATCTCACCTTTTTGAATTTATTGAAAAAAAACCCAGACTTTATTGATTATCGGTTGGATAATGAATATTCGTAATCTGGTTTTGCAGATAGATACTTGCAATGGATTCTACTGCGAAAACTTCCGGCCTAACAACCCCAGTAATCCAAAAATGTTTACAGAACTATGGACTGGGTGGTAAGTAATGTTGCATCAAAATATCAAAGAAAGAATCATAGTTTGGATTTGCCCAAGTGCTTTTTTTGCCTAATTCTAGTCGAAAACGTTTCGGGTTTAAAAAGAAACCATTTGGCATTAAAAAACAACAAATGATGTTTTTTTCGTGTTCGTGGCAAAACATATAGGTATACAGAATTTGGGGGTCCAGTTCATGTAAGATCTGCAGAAGACACAGCTTTTGCAGTTGCAAGGTTCATCCAAAACAATGGCTCATTCTTTAACTATTACATGGTTAGTTGAGTTTTTTTTTTGGTGTTTTACATTTTATTTCCAAGTCAAGAACTATTTTCTTCCCTTGAATCTAAGCTTGTTTGTTATACTTTGAGTTTTAGTACCATGGAGGAACAAACTTTGATCGAACCGCTGGTCGGTTTATTGCAACAAGCTATGACTATGATGCCCCTTTAGATGAATATGGTAATAACCGTAGGCTTAAGCTTTTGGTTGAGTTGATTTTTTGACAGTCTTAATCTACATTATGTTCAATGGTTCCACTTACAGCTCGTTTTTTATAGGGCTACCAAATGAACCGAAATACGGGCACTTAACAGAACTACACAAAGTGATCAAGCAAGCCGAACAAGCTTTGGTTTCATCATATCCCACTGTCACCTGGCTAGGCAAAAACCAAGAGGTTCTTTTTTGTTTGGTTTAACGGTTTCTCTCCAACCGTTTTTGTATCCTCTTATAATAATGCATCTTGTTCTGATTTTTGAATCGCAGGCTCATGTTTTCAGCTCAAAATCCGGACCTTGTGCTTTGTTCCTCTCCAACTACGACCCGCAATATTCTGCAACCATTACATTTTGGAACAAGCAATATGTTCTTCCTCCTTGGTCCGTTTCCATTTTACCCGACTGCAAGACCCTCGCTTTCAACACTGCTACGGTAAGGAAGAAATAACTTGCCTACCCTCTTTTTGAAAACTTGAATTGTGCCATGAATGTGTCTAAAAACATTGAGTCCAATCGATTGCTTACAGGTTACCTCCAGAAGCTCTGAGCCCAGGATGATAAACACCGGGAGCAGATTCTATTGGCAGTCGTACACTGAAGAGGTGATATCCGCGGATCAAAGTGACACTTTTGCAGCCAATGTGCTATGGGAACAAGTAAATGTAACCAGAGACAGCTCAGACTATCTGTGGTACACAACAGAGTATGTGTTTTCTATTCCAACATAAACAATCACATGGTCTGAACCAGTACAACGATGAATAAGACGTTAATCTTGTGATGAACTTTTGTTCAGTGTGTACATTGCATCCAATGAAGGATTTTTAAAGAGTGGAAAAGATCCAATTTTGACAGTGATGTCTGCTGGACATGCTTTGCAAGTTTTCATTAATGGAAAGCCATGGGGGAACGCGTACGGATCATTGGAGAATCCGAGACTAACTTATAGTGCAAATGTGAAACTAAACGCCGGTAACAACAAGATCTCCTTGCTCAGTGCTTCAGTAGGCCTCGCGGTAAGTTTTTTTTTTTGCCTTTCAAAAACCCCAGTGTTGCCCGGTAGACAATATAAGACAGTCTTTGTATTTTAGTCATTTCTTTGTGTATTTGTTTCTGTTTTAGAATGTGGGCACACATTATGAATCGTGGAGTACGGGAGTTCTTGGCCCGGTCACGTTGAGTGGCCTTAATGAAGGGACAAGAGACTTGAAATACCAGAAATGGTCTTACAAGGTAAAGGACATTTTCCACCTTTTTGTGATCCCAAATGGATTTGTATCAAGAGTTGGGTGAATCAATGCTCGTTCGTTCACAGGTTGGTTTGTCGGGCGAATCAAAGAATCTCAATACCCTTGGTGGAATTTCCTCTGTTGAATGGGTACAAGGTTTGTTTCTTGCTAAGGAACAGCCCTTAACCTGGTACCAGGTAAAATCTTGCTTCACAAAAACACAAAAAAAAACGAGTTTTTTTTGTGACAAGAAACTAGACAAACCTGTTTTTTTTTGGCAGGCCACTTTTGATGCACCTGGAGGAAATGAACCACTGGCTTTGGACATGAGCAGTATGGGGAAAGGTCGGATATGGGTAAACGGCGAAGGTGTGGGCCGCTACTGGACTAAAAACACCGCTCGCGGCAGCTGCAGCAAGTGTGGCTATGCCGGGACCTACACCGCGACCAAATGTGAGACGAACTGCGGACAACCTTCACAAACATGGTACGAAAGAAAAACATACAAATGTCATTTTATTTGGTCACATTTTTTTCTCTTAGATTTTTTTTTCAAGAAAATGTAACGAACCTTTCGGGTTTCAGGTACCATGTCCCCCGGTCATGGCTGAAACGGTCGGGGAATGTGTTGGTCGTGTTTGAAGAATGGGGAGGGGACGTGACGGGCATCCGGCTGGTTAGCAGAACAAGGACATAGTAATGGGGACATTGTGTGGATCCAGAGAGTGCAAATTGGGCTCCCATGATGTTCTGTTGTGTATACTGATTTGTGAGAAAAAAACCCAAAAAAAAGGGAAAAAATAAAACATTGCAGGCGTGAGATACACACACACACAATCCTAGAAGTAGGATGTAATTGTATTTGTATAGTATTTGTTACTTCTCTCATTGTCTTTCTTCTTCTTCTTCTTTTTGTATAAACTTAAACGAATAAAGTTTTTTTTGGAAGAAGGAAGTACTAAAGTGTTTTTATTCAATATCTCATTAGTGCTAGTATTTTTTGTCAAATCCTACCCCAAAAAAACACAAACATAGTATGTTCTGTATACTTCATTATTTATTCATTTCATTTGAATTCCATCAATAATACTCCAGTAGATATGAATGGTCAAAGTATAAGAATGGAGATCGTGAAAAGTTTAAAGGGAAGAAAATTTACGGACGGGGTGAGTAATAAAAAAACATGATTATATATCACCCATGTCCACTCATTGGCCATTGCTGGTATCAAATACAAGTGGAAAGAATATACTGTACATGAGACTAAACTTATCTTATAACATATTAATATAAAAGGGTATGTTTGGTTCACATAGCATTCATGTGGCTTATTCCCATTTTAGCTTACTTATAGTATTAATCATGTGTGTCACATACTATAGAATTAGTGAAACAAGAGTCACTGAAAAGGGTGCCAAAATGGGCATTTTTGACCAGTCTAGGTGGACATTAATGGTAAAGTGGTTGGACATTAAAGTTGTGGCAACTTATAAACAATAAGTGCATGGCAATGGTCTCAAATAACAAGTGGAAAGAATCTACTGCACAAGAAAGAGTATGAGACAAAACTTTTGCACTTTATTGTAACATGAATTCATTCATAGTGATAAACTAATTTTGGACAATCAAGTGCTTGTGGAGATGAATTGGCAATGAATCCCACCAAAGTAAACCTTATCTTAAAACATTTAAAATATATAGAGACTAAAAATGACAGAGATGATCTTGATTTCCAAATGAATGTAGAGATTCATACTTGATGACCACAGATTTGAAATGAAATAAAACCTGCCTAAGTTTCTTCTGATAAAATAGACAATAACAGGGCAAGACCAGCTGTTCATGCACCACCATCAGTGCAGTGATAGTGTTGGAGGAGCCTATTGGCTTCTCTGAGGCCACTAAAGTAAGCACCATGAGTGGTTGAGTAATGGGTTCTGTGTGTTGCTTCCCCTGCAAACAAGATTTGAAGCGGCGGTGGCGAAGAAGAAGAAGAAGAAGCATTATGAAGATTTGCTGGGAGTGGTTCAGCCATGGTGTCCAAATCATCTCCACTTGATCCCACAGCCACATAGCTGTATGACCCCAAGAAGAGTGGGTCACTACCCCATTGGCTCTTCAACACCTTCCCAATCTCCGAACCCTTTCTGTGCCCGTTGCAGACCTCTTGAGCGCTCTTTTGGGGTTTGAGCAGATTGGGCAAGAAGTTGGAGATTGTCTCCGAAACCCCATCAATGATTTCTTGATCCTCGAGAGATTCGAGCTCCAGAGCTTCTTTTCCTGCGAACCAAGCCAGGACGACGCTTGATTCACTGTAGATCGGGCATAGCGAGGCGGTTCTCCTCATCCACCAAGGCGGCAGCTGGTGGTGGTTGTCAATTTTAGGGCTTGTTTGGTGGAATACCATCTGCAAGTGTGGGAAATTCTTGGTGGTGTTTGGGTCAATCTTCAAGAATAGCTTGTTGACCACACCAAAACCAAGTCTTGAGATGGCTTCAGTCTTGAAACTGGGGAGTGGAGGATCAAACAGGCCACCAGATTCCTCCTCATGTTTGATTGCATGCTTCAACACCCCAAGTGAGACTGTGACAACCACATGGTCAGCAAACATCACTGACCCATCAACAAAGTGCAGCTTCACTGGCATGTTTGTGAAATCACCATTTTCACCCCCATTAGGGTTCCACTCTATCCTCACAACCTTCTGCCCTAACCTGACCAAACCAGGTGGCAACACAGATGCCAAGGACTCAAGAATGCTCATGTAGCCCTTGGCAATGGTGATCTCCTCCCCTGGAAACATGCGGTACTCCCTCTCTGCAACGAAATCAAGACTCCCCAAATCACCAGCTGATGTGTATGTCCTCTGGGTGTTCTCAAACATTGCAAAGATTGCATCTTCAAGTGATTTCCTGCACCAACCACCAAACCCTTGCATCTCCTCCTCGTCATCGACGCTGTTCGAAGCCCAATAAGCATCGAGCCCCTTCCTCAGGAAAGAACCCAGACTGAGATTACTCTCGGAGACCCCATTGGGAGAAGATCCAGCGGCAGAATCCATGAGTTTCTTGAAAAGACTGGAGATGGGATCAAGAATGGAGGAATTTATGCGATACCCACCTTCAGCTACGGTCTCTGCATTCTTGTCATCAGAAGAACCATCCATACACTCCCATGGCTGGTCAGATTCCAAGGAGTTGATTTCCTGAGCGATCCTGTAAACTGGGCTGCCGCCGATTCCATGAATCCAAGTGGCGCCCATCTCGATCCGGTCGCCGCCGAACTCAGATGTGTTGATTCTCCCGCCAATACGGTTCCCAGCTTCCACCACACAAAGCTCTAGACCCCCGTTTGAAACTGCAGCTGTGTAAAGCTTGTTTGCAGCAGCGAGGCCCGCCATTCCTGCTCCGATTATCACCACCTTCGGCTTCCTCGTCGGCATTCTTGTTCTTTGCCGGTGTCTTCTCCTCTCTTTTTTTACCTCGGAGTTTTGGAGATTTTCACACAGACAAAAGATAGAACACCTAGAGGACAGAATGAATGCGAAACAGCTTATGAAGGGCGCTGCTGAATTTGCTGAACAAGAGTTTTATGTCATCATTGGTTTGAACCAATCAATCTCTAAAAGAAAGAAAGAAAGAAAGAAAGAAAATGAACCCATTCCCATTGCTAGCTGGTCTCCCAGATAGGTCAGGTCAGTCAATTACTCCGTTTAAATCATTATTTCTAAATTATTCCTTTATATCATTAAATATTTTAGTGTCTCCTTGATGGATAACATTATAATCGTGTCTCCGAATTCGGCTTCTCAATAAGATGGTTGTATTAAGATTGTATTTATTAGTTTATTGTTGATAAATACAGAATAATTTGTAACTTGTATGATACTTCTTTCGTTCTAAAATGTTTTTTTGTTTTTGAGTTTTGACTGATTTTATTTTCAATTCAACTTATTTGATTGTAGTTATAAATTTAAAAAATACTTCATCCGTCCCTAAATAAACTTTTCTTTTTGATTTTTTGAGGATTTAAGAAATGGATATTTTTGTGTTGATTTTCCAAAATACCCTTGATGTGATGTGTAAAAGTAAGATGTGATATGTAGATTATTAGTAAAAAGGTATGATGTGATAGGTAGGGTATGAAAAAGTAAGGGGTGAAAGAGATTTTTTAAGGGAAAAGAGAAGTTTATTTAAGGGACAAAGAAAAAACTTATATATTTAAAAACTACATCAAAATTTTTACAAAACAAGACTATATTACTTTAACAAATAACGAAAATAGGTAAAGAAAGTGATTAAAATTTAATCATGTGAATAATAACGGAAAAAAACATTTTAGGACGGATGAAGTAATATTGATGTAAATATATTTTTTAAAGCGACTAAAATGAACATTGAGTCATTTGGTGATATTCAATAATAGTTAAAGATATTTTATAAATAGTTTAGTTAAAACCAAGAAATAAAAAAAAGCCTTTAAAAGTAAGTTGACAAAACTACTTGTCTTTTTCTTATAAGCATCTTATAAGTTACGAGTAATAATTTATAAGAATAGATTAGCACTGCTAAATTGAGTAGAGTACAATTAGTAATTCGGTCTGGTTCCAGTGACACCGGAAAACGGTGCCACTCCGGTGCCACTGGGTTTTTGGGCACCTCCAGTGCTCCGTTCGTAAAATTGACGGTTCCTACCCCCCTTACCCACCCCTAAACCCCCCACCCTACCCACACCCCTACACCCTCACCCCAACCCCGCCTTAACCACCCCACAAAATGTGTGGCTATTATGCATTGCATAATAGCCACACATTTTGTGGGGGGGGGTTACGGCAGGGTTGAAGTGAGGGTAAGGTGGGGGGTTTAGGGGGTAGGTTAGGGGGGAAGGAACCGTCAATTTTACGAACATCGGAGGTGTCCCAAAAACCCAGTGGCACCGCTAGTGGCACCGTTCTCCGGTGTCACTAGAACCGGGCCGATAGTAATTAAATAAAAAGCTTACTTCTATTTAAACACAGTGTCGAGGTATAGAAGCACTGCAAAATTGGAACTACCCGAATTGGAAAATATATATTCTACCACTGAAATATTACTCTCCCTCCATTCCATTCCAAGAAACTTTTCCATTTTGACACAGTTGAGATTTTAAAAATATAATATAATTTTGGTATTAATTTTCGACTTTGTCATTACTTAATACTAGAGTACGAAAAGATACGATTAGTAGATTAATAATGAATAGATATAGAATGATAACTAAATTAATAATCATTAGGAGTGAAAGAGAAATTTTAATTGAAAATAAAATGTTTTCTTGAAATGAATTCAAAGGGATGGAGTATTTGGGAAATATTTTGACAATAATACTACTAAACTTCACTACAAGCATGGGGCAATGGGGAAAAGATTGAGTAAACTTGATGATCAAAATGAAAAATTAAGGTGGGTATTTATGTGGTGAAAGAAGGACCAATAAATAAATTAATAAATAAATATTTGCAGGAATGGCCTTGAAAATTTCAAAGGATGAGCCTCATCCCCGAGGGTCCCCTCAGATCCGGTCGGATAGTCACTGAGAGTAAGTAAATTGAACTTTAATTGCAGATTAATGGCAAAGCGTGGAGCCTGCACCTGGTGCTTGCAGAGGCTCTATGCTTAGCGTAGTTGCCTCCTAGCACAGTTGCCAAGAATCGAACTCGGGTCTTACCAATTTGGCACCCCTTATCTTCGCAACGCCCACCAACATCTTGTGGATATCTAGTCTCTTTGATAGTATAAATAGAAATAGCCCACAAAAAATATTCACTCACGGAGAGGTATGCAGAATATTCACTCAAAAGATATTTCGAGAACAGAACTTGTTATTGGGCTTTGTAACGCTCCGAAATTAGGCCTATCAAATTTAATTAATTGATAATTAATTAATTACTAAGAAGGACCCATAAATAAGTGATTTATAAAGTTTGTCAATAAATATTGAAAATTATATCATTATGTAGAGTTTGACTCTCTAACCCAAAGGTTCAATCGGATTTCATTTTGGAGAAAGTTGGACTAAAAAGTGTATCCCAACTGGGACCAAAATTAGTCTCAATCAGGGACTACACACAAAACGGTGCCCTGTTCAATTACACCGATTCCAAATTTGTCGCTCAATCACGAAAGCTGCAAACCATGTCTTCTTCCTTCCTCTCTTGGCTATTTAAGGAGAGCCAACTCCTTCATTTCCTCACCAAAACAATTCACTCTTCCTTTTATCTTGTTCCTTGCTGAGAGTAGAGTGCAGTGGTGCTGTCATCTTTGTGTGAGGTCGCCGAAGCAGAGAGATATAGTCACCGAAAGTTTCGCCGGAAAATCTTCAAAACCTCCTTATTGCTTCGAGGTAAGCCCGTGGATGTATCTAATGACTAGAATGATCATATAGGTCGTTTCTACGTTCATAAATGGTCATTTGGTTGAGTTTTGTGTTTGACATTTTTGAAGAACTAAAAATAATAAGCCCTTTATTTGATGTTAAAATCATGAATTAATGATATTAAAATGATCTATGAACCTTGGAAAACACTTCTACATAATTTAATTGAAATTTGATGATTAAAAATGATATTTCCAAAAATAGGCTGAAGGTAGAAGACGATGAACAGTAACAGATGGACCAATCCAGGAAGCTGGATCGATCACTCGCAGTAGAAGAATTCTACTGGGTGGATCGATCCATATACGTGGATCGATCACCTGAGAGAAGAATTATGAAGAGGATCGATCCTCCAAGCTGGATCGATCACCCGACCTGTCTGCTCCGATTTGTTATACCAATCAATTATGATTAATATAAAGATGATTTCTTGGAATAAAAATGTTGATTCGATAACTAAAAGAACCTTACGTGATGCATGACGGTAAGCTAGGGTGTTAACACTCGACACTAGGGCACTTATTGTTATTAGACATTATGATGATTGGTTGATTGTTGATTATAATGAATATTATGGATTAATGATGATAATTATTCTGAATGAAATTGTAACACCCTAATCCGTCTAGGTCTGCAGCCCCATTCGGACTAAAGTATTTAACTTGGTAATCGTAAAAATTTAAAACTTTTCAAACACATTTTATTAATCCCAATAATATTTTTCATAACATATACAGTACGGAGTATTCAACAATATTGCGGAAGCGATTTTAATATTGACATATCATAAATTGTTTCAAAACATGTCACATTCATCCCCACAATCTCGCCCCATTCGCCGCCAGGATCACATTGTGCTTTCTGCTTACCTGCGTGTAGCAAATAAAACACACTACACGCTCAGCGGTAAAGCTGAGTAAGCATATATAATGCGTCGAACATCCATATAAACTGAATCTAAATTCATAATCAAATCATTTGATATCATGCACACAATGTTCATTTCAGACATTCACAGTTTTGGTATTGTTCAGTTCATATCAATACATTTTATTCAATTTAGATACTATTTCAATAGTGCTCTTAAATTATTCTTAATGTAAGACCAGATTATAACAATGCTATTACCTATTCTTAGTCTAAGGCCAGATCATAATAAAGCTCTTAGCTATTCTTAGTCTAAGGCCAAATCATAATTTCCATAACCAGATTCTTTAAAGGCAACTATTAATCAGACACTTAAACTATCATTAGTTTAAGGCAATTGAATTTGGACACTTAATTGTAGTCAGTTAAGGCAATCAGACACTTAAACTATTACTAGTTTAAGGCAAATGATTCGGACACTTAACTGTAGTCAGTTAAGGCAACAAATATATAGCAATTGATCAACATTAGATCGGGCATTCCCAAACGAGTGATCCTCTAGTTTGGTCTATGAATCCCATTTATGCGGTTTTATCTAATTCATCAAATGTTCATGTTTTCATAAACCTGTTCTAAGATCTATTCTATAAGTTTTCTAGATAGTTTTAACATCAATTAGCTAATAGGTATATCTTAAAGTCTTCTAGATATCCTTAACAATACAAATCGTTTAATAATTATCAATATATTCATTATACCCATGGCTCAATCATCAATAATCATTTTGATTAGTTAGTTCATCATTCTTGATCATCCATAATAATCATTCATCATAATCATTAATCAACATAACAATTGATAACAAATAGCGGTCTAGTTTTGAGTGTTAACACCCTAACCTACCGTCATGCATCACATAATGTTTTATATGTCAAAAACATTATTTTTATTATACAAAATCATATTGATATTGTGCATAATTAATTGGTATCAAAAATAGGATTTTAGAGCATTTTTTAGGAACATTTTCATCTGGAATTGAGGAAAATAATTTAAAATAATCAATTAATTTATAAAAATTGATTTGTATAATTTTATATAATCCATTAATTCATAATAATCGATTTTTACAATTTAAATAATCAATTAATTCATTATAATCGATTTTTACAATTTAAATAATCCATTAATTCATAATAATCGATTTTTACAATTTAAATAATCAATTAATTCATAATAATCGATTTTTACAATTTAAATAATCAATTAATTCATAATAATCGATTTTTACAATATAAATAATCGATTAAATGGTACTGACTTCGAACCACTGATCTGAATACAATTCTAATCGATTTTTAGTAAGTAAATAATCGATTTTCGGCCACTGTTCATCATCTTCTTTCTCGGGTTAGTTTTAACATTATCATTTTTTTAATCACCAAACTTCAATTTATTTATATAAAAATGTTCTCCAATGTTCACAGATCATTTTAGAGTCATTAATTCGTAATTTTAACAACAATTTCATGGTTTATGATTCTTGTTTCTTCAAACATGTCAAACACAAAATTCAACCAAACGACCGTTTATGAACGTAGAAACGATCTATATGAACATTCTAGTCACTAGATATATCTACGGGCTTACTTCGAAGTTAAACGATGATTCCGGCGATTTAACGACAAAACTTCCGGCGAACACCACGGCTTGCTCCAGCGACTTCTCACCAAATTCACAGCATCATGGAAATCTCCACACTCAGAGGAACATATTAGGAAGAAAAATTTCATGAATTGGTGGAGAAATGAAGGAGAAGGGGGATGCTTTATATAGTGAAGAAACTAGAGAAGATGACCAATTTTGGCTGCGATATGTTTTGATTTTGTTCGGCGTAGTGGGATTGGCTGCGATATGTTCTGATTTTGTACGCCACTCCCTGATTGGGACCAATTTTGGTTCCAGTCGGGATATACTTTTTGGTCCAACTTTCTCTGAATTGAAATCCGTTTGCACCGTTGCAATAAGATAGTTAAGCTTTATCCAATGACATAATTTTCATGATTATTTGTAATACTTTTTCCGACATCATATTTTTGGGTGTTTGACTTTGACAGAGTCAAAATTGATTTAGTTGACCTTTATTCAAAAAGGTTCTCTCATTTCATTCATGTTGTTTACTCTCATGATTTATTTGAATAAATAATTTCAGAGTTCACATCACAAGTCAATTTCTTAATTTATTCTTGATCTAGGTATGTACTCATGTTCCTAATCAAGATCACATAATAAGTCAACATATGGAATTTTATCTCTTTGAGATTTATCCAGATTGTGATATTGGACTAGAACATATTTCATATCGAGCTCAAAGCCCAATAATAATTTATTTTAATCAAAACAAATTTGTTTAATTGAATATTTAATTCAATAAATTTTAGGGTATATTTTGGGGCGTTACAGAAATGATGATTATGAATTATCGAACCAAGATTCAAAATAAATGAATTAATAAAAAATGAGTTGTATTGTTAAGGCTATCTAAAAGACCTCTAAGATAGACCTCAAATTAGATTGGGCCTTGCGGGTATAAATATGTATATTTGGTGGCCTTGGTAAAAGCGTACGTACGGGATCCACAAACCAAACTAGAGGCACTCGTTTGGGGATACCACCCAACCCGACAGTTAGTATTCTACTGTTCGGTTTCTGGATTTGTACCTTAAGCGAAGGCTAGTTTAAGAGTTGGTAAATCAATCATAATATATGTATCTTAAACTAATGACCTAGCTTAAGAGTTGGATAGAAATACTTTAACTAGAATTAGTTTAAGAGTTCGTAGACATCAAAAGATTAGCCTTAGACTAAACATAGTTTAAGGATATTGTTGAATATAGAATATTGAGTATGAATGTTGAATGTTGAGATATTGAAATA